CTATTCGCACCATTTTTTTGTCGCCATAAGCCTGCTGGTGTCATGATTTGGGCTGCCGTCGCATCCGACGGCTGAAAAGGAACCTTGGTCTTCATCAAGGAGGAGGCTGTGAAAGTGAATTCACAGGTGCAAGTCCATCTGCTGGAGGAAAATGTTTTGCCTTGAGTCACTCAGTCGTTCTGAGACGGATACGTCTTCGATCAGGACGTTGCGCCGCCGCAAACGGCCAACATCGCTCAACCGTGGTGGAAGGCCCACATGCCTGGGTTCTGGGACAAAGACATTGGGCCATCATCAAGTCCAGACCTGAACCCGATGGACTTCGCAATCTGGACCATCTTAGAGAAGAGGGTGTGTGCAGCGCCACACAGCAGAATCGCCGCCCTGAAGCTGGCCCTCGGGACGGCACCGTTAAATCTGGGCGGGGACACCGTGCGGCGCTCGTGCCCTTCCTTAGAGGAACGTTTCGAGGCAGTGGTGAAGGACAAAGGTGACCATTTTGAGTCATTGTACCGTCGCTGAGATGTGTACATGTTACTGCAGATATGCGCCAGAAATCAATTTGATATCTTTGTTCGGGGCCGAAATATTTAAGAAAATCAAGAGGTAAATCTTTCTGCCCCACCCTGTATGTACACCACTGACCCGCCTCCAAAAGATGAACGGAAGAGGGAGTTCTCACAGTATCTCTTGCAAAAATTGAAAATGGCCACCGTTCGCTCGCTCCGGTCGAAAACCCTCCCTACAATACGATGCAAGATCACAGACCAGACTCCAGAGATCGAGCTTATAACTTATAATCAATGACAGTCTTAATCTTACAACTTATAATCAACAGATGAATCAAATCAACAGGACTATGTACGATGTAGGTACGTGAGACACGTGCCCAGGATCTCGCCCAAGAGGGGGTCAACTGCTCTTGAAGGGACCCGCGAGTCACCCGGGGACCCGGGGTCAGCCCAGACAGGGCGTATCCAGGACCTTTCGATGGGAGGGGGCACGGTGGGTCCGGTCCCACTGGCAGACGGGCCTCGTTAAAACGGTCTTTGCCCTGAGAAAATGTGGAAAATTGGCAAGCAAAAATATCATTTATGCTCAAGGAGTGTGCCTAATGTGCATGGTATTTTACGAGCGAGCGAAGCGAGCGAGCTCCTCAGAGTCACCGGTGTGTGGCGCGCTCAGAGGTGTCGGTGAAAGGCCGTCCGATGCGCTGGTATTGGGCCCTCACAGGCGCCGTTGCGTGGTCTTGGGGCTTAGAGACACTGGTGGGGCCATCATTGGCATGCGTGTGATCCTGCAAGGTGGCCTGAAAGTGGAAAGCGGCCCTTCATAGGTTGGCAAGGACATTAGAGGCTGGTAAGAGGCCCCCAGAGTCACTGGTACGTGGCCCTCAGAGGCGCCGGTGTGGGGACTCTCGGAGTCGCCGATGGGCTGTGGGCCGTGGGGCTATCACAGACGGGTGTGGAGCCATTGCAGCTGGTCCCTCATTGGCTGTTACTAGGGCCCTCAGAGGCCAGCAAGGTCTCTCAGAAACCGGCATTGGGCCTTATGGAGACAAGATAAGTGTGGCTACATAGCAGCCCATAACGTGCTCTCACAATCCCTGTGGTGTCCTTGCAAGTTCAAGCGTGGCCAGAGCGGACCCTCTGCCACCAATTGGCGCCGCAGGTCCCCTCGGGTTCGAATAAATCCTAAACCCGAGAACGGGCACGTACCCCCTCGCTCCCTGGCTATGCCACTGAATCAAAGTGATCATGGACCCTTCAGGTAATCAGGGACCTCTCAGATGAAGAGGGGTTTTCAATTGATCAGGGGCCCACCAGGTGACCAGGGAACCCTCTGATAACTAGGGGCCCCTCAAGTAACCAGGGACCCCTTAACCCGCACCCTGCTGGGGGTCCTGGATTTCCACGCCCTGCTGGGGGGGGGGTTGGAACACCCCCCCCCCCCTTGTAACTCGGCTCCTGGGCCACGTAGCGATACGCGGAAGGCGGCGTTCGAAAAAGCGTCAAAAATAATGACGAAATCACTTTGGTCAATTTTTTGGTCAGGTCAAAGGTCAGGTCACCAGAGGTCATTGAAGGCAAAATTTCGCCGATTTCCAGGTCGAATGTCGAAAGTTTCCAAGAAGCCAACGCATAACTCGAGAACCAATAGAGCTACAGCGCCGCAGAAAAGCGCATTCGATAGCCCTATTAAAGCCCTTTCTGAGTCATTCTCTCAGATTTGACCTAGCATCAACGGTTTTGCCTGCAGGGCGCAAAAACTGCAAAAATAGCCGATTTTTTCGGAAACAGTTTTTCTGCAATAACTTTTGACCCAAGCCTTGTACGAGCTTACTTTTACCGGCATCGTGTTCCTCTCGTCAAGACGCATCGAATGAACTATAATTTGACCTTGAAAGGTCAACTTGAAAATTTGACCTCAGGTCAAGGTCATGACCTGACCGGAAAGGGTCATGTTGCATATCAGTCGATCCGTATCGTCGAGCTGAACACATCTAAGGCGTTTTCATCGCTCTAGCATGCCTCTATCAAAAGTTATTTGCGAAAAACTGTTAGATACCATTCGTGACCTAAGATGACCTCAGGGCATAAACAAGGGTCACGGACACCATTTTCATATTCAGTGTGTCTAAACCACTAATAATTCGGTGTTTGGGAGTGTTTATAATGTCTTTTGTCCAAAAGAGGCGCATTTCAATTTTCTCCCATTGACTTATAATGGGGAGGTCGCAAAATTGACCTGACCTTAGGTCATCGATATCAAAATTCTGAGATATACATTTCGTACATGCTATTGCTCTTAGCAATCGCTGAAAGTTTCAAAGCGATCGGTCACTCGGTGTAGCTATGACAGACATTGAAACTTTTTATGAGGTGAGGTCACTTCAAGTGACCTGGTGACCTGACCTTGAATGACCTTGGTCTGAAATTTTCACAACATGTGTAGAATTGATGTATGATAAGGTGTACCAAAAACGGAATTCGCGAAAAACCACAAGGGGGGGTGTTCAAACACCCCCCCCCCCCCCAGCAGGGCGCGGGTTTAAATAACCAGGGCCCCTCAGTAAACGGGGGCCACTCAGGTAACTGCGGGAGTCCCTCAGATAACCAGGGGCCGGCAAGGTCTCTCAGGTCCGTTTTGACAAGGTTGTTACTGACGTCAGGTGCGAGCCCTTTGACACCAACTGAGGGCCCTTTCAAGCCTTTTGAGGGTCGTTTAACGTCTCTTGAGTTCCCTTCGAGGCCTTCTAAGTGCCCTTTGAGCAGTCGAGGGGCCTTTGAGGCTTTTTGAGGGCCTCTTGACGTCAGCTGAGGACCGTTGGACGTCAGCTGAGGACCGTTTGGGGCCTTCTGATGGCCATTAGACGCCAACTGAGGGCCCTCTAACACCAACTGGAGGCCCTCTGACACCAGCTAAGGGCCCTTCAAGTTTGACGCCAGCTCAGGGCCCTCTGACATCAGCTAGGGGCCCTCTGACGTCAGCTCAGGGCCCTTTGACGACCTTAAAGGTCTTCTGAGGTCCGTTTGACGTTAGCTGAGGGTCCTTTGAGGCCACCTGAGGGCCCTTTGACACCAGATTAGGGTCATTTGACGCTAACTGAGGGCCCTTCGAGACCATATAAGGACCCTGTGACGCCATCTGAGGGCCCTTTGAGGCCTTCTGAGGGCCATTTAAATTTCACTAGTCACCCTGACTGCGCTACTGGGCATATTATGGACTCATATGGGCCTGCTGGGGAGCGAGCTGGACCCTCCCGGTCTTTTCAATCATTATTTCAGCTCATTTTTACACGGTCTTCGGCGGTCTAAGGACTAGGGGCCCGTTTTGAGGCGGCCGAAGGCCGCCTCAAAATGGGCCCCTAATCCTTCGGTTGGGCCCCCAACTCGAATGGGGGGGGGCACGGGCCCGTGTGCCCCCCCTTGTGTGCGCCCTTGGTCCGCATCGAAACATGTATGTGTTGACCCCGAGAGATCAAGTTCAAAGGTTGACTTAAGGTCACGTTACCTCAGGTCGCTTGAACTCAAGGTCACGTGATTTCAAGGTCATCATGTATAAGCATCATTCGATGCGCCTTGACGAGCTGAACACAGTGAGACGATTTGCGCGTCTGTGTCTTTTTCCTGTACCTAAGGATTTATTAGCAGAAAAAAGCGTGTGGTAATTTTTGATGACGTCACATGCCCTTACAGCTGTCCAATAGGAAATTAGGCATCAAGGTAGTGAAATTTTGTCAGGAATTACGTCATTTGTGGGATAATTGGCCATGACAACTCGGCCGTCCCAGCATAGTGACCCTGAACGCTCCGGCCAAGTTGCCCCGCCAGTCCCGGCCAAATAACCCCACATTGCCATTCTGAAAATGTTTGTCTATAAAGTCGTCATGGCTGTACGGAACTAGATGAAATTGCTCTTGAAACCGCTGAACACCCCTAAGAATGACGCTATGATGTCACTTGTCAGAATTCGTTTACAGGCCAAATACTACATGTTATACAATATTTTAAACGGAAGTAAAAGTTACCATTTTCTAATGAAATTCACGTTTTATTTATTTTGAATAAAACCACGGGAGGGAAAGTTTTGACATTTGTCCTCGAGTTAGTTCTACCCATTACAAATGAATAGAGACTAGATTTATTTCATTCACTTTTATCAGATATCGTACAGGCGGCAAATTACCCCAACCTCCCCTACCATAAAATGTTACCATTTAGACTACGCTCGAAAGACTACGCTCGCTCCGTAACAACGTGCCCTCTAATGTATTCTTATATTTTTACATTTATGTTATCATGACTTGTGGCCGAAAATTCATCTAGGGTTACATGAATGGAAAAAGTTTAAACTTTGTAAGGAGGTCATTCAAAACAATCAATTATGACCCATTGCCATCGATTAAAAGGAAGCTGGAAGAGCGCCAACCCATTTTCTACATAGATAAACATTTCGGTGCCACAAAATTGTTGAAATCCCTGGCCAAATCAGAGGAATGGGAACACCAAATTAGCAATAAAGTTTATTTATAATCAGACCGCGAAAAAGAAAAAAAAAAAAACTCAATTAATCATACACTTGGTCGCTGACGCCAAAACCGGCTGGCTGGCCGGTCCGGTGTGGCCGGCCGGACTGGGCCGCCGTCCGGCCGGTCGGCCAGTCCGGTGTGGCTGGCCGGACTGGGCCGCCGTCCGGCCGGTCGGCCAGTCCGGTGTGGCCGGCCGGACTGGGCCGCCGTCCGGCCGGTCGGCCAGTCCGGTGTGGCTGGCCAGCCGTCGGTGTGGCCGGCCGGACTGGGCCGCCCGGCCTCTGCTCCCCACTCGGCGCTCGCCTCACTGCCTGGTAGGCATTCTGACTCAGAACCAGAGCGCCCTGGCGCGCCATCTCACAGTGAGACCACCAGTCACCTCCGCTGCCCAGTGTGGCAGCGGTGTCCAAAATATTTGCATTGAATTTCAACTTCTTGCCTATTGTTGCCACCCTGGCTGGGAAGTTCAGTAACTATTGGTGGTAATCGATAATATGAAGCCTCGCGCGACTTCGTGTTTGGATGTATGAGTGACTGATAACAAGCATTTCAGCTATTATCGGTTATGTCAAAAACCTACCAGGCCGTGAGACGACGGCTGAACAAATGTCCTCCTCTCTATCTCTCAAACACACCCGCACACACGCACGCACACACCCCTACACACACGCGCACGCGCACCACGCGCACGCACACACACACGCACACCCACACACGCAGCTGGGAGCGGCCGCGTGCCCGGCTCCGGCGTTCTCAGTCAGTCGTGTTCGATGTGCCGGCCACGCATGGTCCACCTACTCACACCACATTGTCTGACCGTCTGGCCGCACTGTTTGTCTGACGACCAGGCCACACTGTTTGTCTGGCCGCCTGGCCACACTGCCTGACCGTCTGGCCGCACTGTTTGTCTGACCGTCTGGCCACATTGTCTGACCGTCTGGCCACACTGTTTGTCTGGCTGCATGGCCGCACTGTTTATCTGACCGTCTGGCCACACTGTCTGGCCGTCTGGTCGCGCTGCTTGCCACGCTCGCACACCAACGACAATAAATAAACGGGTTTTCCCGACCACCAAAAAATAGACACGCGGTCAGCAGTGTGTGACACCAGGACGAACGGCACCGCCGCTCCTATCAACGTCCAACAAGGGACTCCGAGACAGAAATCGCTTTGCACACCCGAATATCACATTGGTCGGACAGGCGCCGGTAGGTCAGTCCGGCGGCCGGCCGGCCGGCCGTACGCTGGCCGGGCCGGCCGGCTAGTTGATGGCCTGGTGGCGCTCCAGCTCCTCGACACTGAGCACGCGCTGCTGCATGGACGGCGGCGCCGACAGGTGGGCGCTGGCCAGCAGCTCGGGGCTGAACCAGCGCGACAGCGCGCTGGCAGCCGCCGGCTGGGCCGCCGCCCCGCGGCCGCGCTGCAGCCACGGCGGCTGCTGCATTTGCGCCTGCGTCTCGAGCAGTTTGGCGGCCACCGACTGGATGTTGCCGGCCGAGACGGCGGCGGCCGGTGGCGGGCCGTCTCGATTGGTCTTCACCAGAGGCCGGCCTGCAGGCACACACAGCCGCCCGTCAGCAGCAGCACACATACACTCATACAGCCTCTGCCGCGCACTCTGAGACGCTCGCCCACCAGCGACTGCCGGGCTCATTTACTAGATCAATATGCTCCTCTAGCTGGCTTGTCCTAGACGCTGATCCAGCAGGGCTATCCTATTTATCATTACAAACGACGTATCATTCAAACACGCAGACCTGCCGTCAACTGACGCCGCGAACCCTAAACCCGATAAGGGCACGTGTCTCCTCGCCCCCTGGCCAACTGCTATGCCACTGAATCCAGCTGATCAGGGGACCTTCAGATTATCAGGGACCCCTCAGGTGACCAAAAGGTTAGTATGTCAATCGGTTACCAAAATTTCGGTATACCGATACCGAACCGATACCGATTCGGTATTCGGTATTATATACCAAAAGCATTTGATATTTTGTCGGTATCATGAAAATCAACTACTACCATCAAAGATTTGAAAGCATTTTTGATAAACCTTCTGAACTCAAATTTGATTTGCTAAATGACACTGGATGAAGAAAAAATGGCAATCATGACACATTTCTCCAAAATGCATGATGTCCTAACAAATGGGCAAACACATTACCTGTAATATCAAATACATCAGTCTACCGATGTTAACCCTCGCCCGTATTGGTGTTTTCCAACCGCAAACGTATAAGGGGGGGTCCGTTGGGCCCCCCTTGCCGTTTCGCCCCTGATCGAGCTAGAGCTTCGCGGAAAAACGAGCGTGTTCCCCGTGACGAGAGAAAGCCGCAGATACCCAATTTTAAGGTCCTAGGTCATTGGTTGACCTTCCAGGTCAGGTCAATGACCCAAAAGTCGGGAAAATCGGGACCTGTTAGAATGTCGTAAAGTGTGGCTGGTATGGGTTTTTTTTTCGGGGTACTGGTCACGAATATCATGTTAGTTTTGATCACAGATGATGTCTTCATGCATTTAGGCCAGGTCGGGTCAGGTCAGGTCATGTCAACCAGTAGCGGTCCTGCCGGGTATTCGTAGTAGGTGTCAACCGCCTCCGGCAGCTTCGTAACATGTTACGAAGGCACCAAAACTACTTCGTAAACGTTCATATGGTTGTTAAATTCGAAGTCAGCTCCAACAACTGGCCTAAAAACATGTAAAACTCGAAAAAGTGAACCGAGGTCATCAAAGGTCAATGACCTGACCTGACCTTCGGGTGACCTTGACACCCACCCTAATGCATGGGACCAACATCATTTCAGATGTTTGAACGCTTGAAACCACGAAAAGACTGCAAACGCGCCGCTAATGCGAGCCGACATACGCCGAATCGCGATTCCGGCCAAACATGATCTCGAAAAGTAGGTCACAGGTCAAAGGTCATTTAAGTCAGGGTCAGGAAATATTCAGGGTAGGTGTAAAATTGATCAACTCGAGGGTACTGAAAGTTTCGCCGCGATCGGTCGCTTTTTACGCGAGTTATTCGCGAAAAACCGAGGGGGGGGGGTCCGTTCGACCCCCCTATACGGGCGAGGGTTAAATGGCAACTTATCAGTGTTAGCAAATTCCAATACCATGAGGATAATTATCTTACAAAGAAAGGTAATGTGCAAGACATAAACATCAATTAATGTTTAACTCACTGTATGCTGGAAAGCATACTTTAACTACCTTTCTCAAAATTTCCAAAGCACTTATTAGCAACAAATTTGACTTTGTTTTGAGGAGTCTGTGATTGATCTTGACCTTGTCATACTCTCCATTTCACTGCAACGCAATTACATTATCCAAAACCCTGTTTTATACAGCACTAGCTTCACCATTATCAGCTAATATTGAAGGCAGCATTTGTCACTTCATCATCACCCTACAAATCTTCAACTTTGCTCAACTTCAAAAAGCCTCTGTAGTGAGCGATCCTGTCAGGATCCTGTGGATAATTCATTTTCTTTAATTAGTGTTCCCTTTCCTGCTCTCCTCAACAGATAGAGATCGCTAGCAATGTAATCAAAAGCATTCCTAAAATATAATTGGTTTTTGGCTTGAACCACTGTGCACAGGTCGTCATGGGAGTCCGACGCTCGGCTCATGTGACGCCTCTGTTGGCAGAGCTATGCTGGCCCCATATAGACAGGCTGGTGGCGGAGAATGACTGCAGTACTGTGCATTACTTGTTGAATAATGTTCATGCACCGAACTGCCTCTCTGAGCGGTTTGTACAACGCAGCGACGTGTCGAGCAGACAGACTCGAGCCACTGAGAATATGCAGCTCGAACTGCCGAAGGTCCGCACCGAACATGCTCGCAAGTTCTTTCATTACCGCGCCTGTGACGTTTGGAACTCGCTACCAGCAGACATTCGGTCGTCACGCACGTCGGCCACTTGTCGCAGGCGTTGTCGACGATTACTCAATGGTGACTAGTCACTGTGCGCGTAGCTTTCAGTCATTTGTACCGATATGCATTTTACTTTTTAACCCGCGCCCTGCTGGGGGGGGGGGTGTTTGAACACCCCCCCCTGTGGTTTTTCGCGAATATCTCAAAAACGGCGGCGCGGAGCGCCGCCGTTTTTGGTACACCTTATCATACATCAATTCTACACATGTTGTGAAAATTTCAGACCAAGGTCATTCAAGGTCAGGTCACCAGGTCACTCGAAGTGACCTCACCTCATAAAAAGTTTCAATGTCTGTCATAGCTACACCGAGTGACCGATCGCTTTAAAACTTTCAGCGATTGCTAAGAGCATTAGCATGTACAAAATGTATATCTCAGAATTTTGATATCGATGACCTAAGGTCAGGTCAATTTTGCGACCTCACCATTATAAGTCAATGGGAGAAAATTGAAATGCGCCTGTTTTGGACGAAAGACATTATAAACACTCCCAAACACTGAATTACAAGTGGTTTAGACACACTGAACATGAAAATGGTGTCTGTGACCCCTGTTTATGCCCTGAGGTCATCTTAGGTCACGAATGGTATCTAACAGTTTTTCGCAAATAACTTTTGATAGAGGCATGCTAGAGCGATGAAAACGCCTTAGATGTGTTCAACTCGACGATACGGATCGACTGATATGCAACATGACCCTTTCCGGTCAGGTCATGACCTTGACCTGAGGTCAAATTTTCAAGTTGACCTTTCAAGGTCAAATTATAGTTCGTTCGATGCGTCTTGACGAGAGGAACACGATGCCGGTAAAAGTAAGCTCGTACAATGCTTGGGTCAAAAGTTATTGCAGAAAACTGTTTCCGAAAAAATCGGCTATTTTTGCAGTTTTTGCCCCCTGCAGGCAAAACCGTTGACGTTAGGTCAAATCTGAGAAAATTACTCAGAAAGGGCGTTAATAGGGCTATCGAATGCGCTTTTCCGCGGCGCTGTAGCTCTATTGGTTCCCGAGTTATGCGTTGGCTTCTTGGAAATTTTCGACATTCGACCTGGAAATCGGCGAAAATTTGCCTTCAATGACCTCTGGTGACCTGACCTTTGACCTGACCAAAAAATTGACCGAAGTGATTTCCTCATTATTTTTGACGCTCTTTCGAACGCCGCCTTCCGCGTATCGCTACGTGGCCCAGGAGCCGAGTTAGAAGGGGGGGTGTTCAAACACCCCCCCCCAGCAGGGCGTGGAAATCCAGGACCCCCAGCCGGGCGCGGGTTAAGTCCCATGCTTTTCATGGTTTTTACTTTTAGCTTTAGTGTTTATTTTAGCTTTATATATGTGCCTACCTATTTGCTGTATGACACTTGGACTGAAAAGCCGTGAGTGCATGGAGCTTCCAAACGAAATAAATGATGATGATGATGATGATGATGATGATGATGATTCGCACACAGCAGTTTCAAAACTGAACACATCTAAAAACATTTCAACGTCGCAGCTGCACCAAGTACCGATATAGCTCAAATAGTAATTGAAACAAATTGAACAACTTCTGGTTTTTTTGGTTCTTCATTTTTTCAGCAAAGGCGGCCTACAATCTTTCTTGAATTAATTTTAAGATGTCAAAATATATACATGGAATTTTGACTTAAGTGGACTAAAGCAAAAAGAAAAGAAAAATTTTATTTTATGCCTACAGTTTTAAGCCTAAATGCAAATGGCCGCCTCCATTAAGGCCGCCATTGTGGAAGAGATATTTGTGACCCGTGGGTATTGGGTTGGTCTGTGTCGATTTGGTTGGTATCCATTTCGTTCGGTTGCTTTTTGACGGTCAAAAGAAAAAAGATACATCGCATCGAGGTGCCTGTGTCGTAACTGCTGTGTGCGCTACTTTAGACTTATTCGAAAACTGGCGTTAAGTCTTTTGATGGCCATCGATGAATTTCGCTAAAAATGACGATGTAATGGTTTGGAACATTAACATTTTTAAGAATACTGTTGCTCATCATGCAAAAATGAAGACCGAACCTTGGACAGAATTGAATGCTCTTTCCAACAGTGCCATTTTTAATTGCCAGAGATATCAGATTATGGGGCAAAACCATTTTGATAAACAAATTGGCACACAATTGACAAACACCATTTTCTCCCGTGATTTGTATCACTTTGATTTGGATCAATCAGCTTTTCACAATTTTTCCATGAGAGGCGGTACATTTTTATTGCTAATAGGCGTTGTTACAACTCGCTCCGTCTGACGGTCACCTGAAAATAACATAAATTCCAAAATCCGTCCAAAACATCAATTTTCCACATAAAAGTGCCCTCCCCGGTGCACGTGGCGCGTGCCATCCCCGGCACCGACACCATTCGATAGCACGTTCAAGTATCTACACGATACTGTTTTCCCCGTGCCGGTCGGACCCCTGGTCCCCAAGATATTGCACCGGGACCGGACCCGTGTCGGGCAAATTTGGCTGTTTTCGCCCGATTTCGCACGCCGATTTATACATGTAAAGTCTATGACGCGAATATGCGCTTTTTGAGCACGCGCCACGCGCTCCCTATCAATCCGATCGAGCTGACACCCCTCAAAGGCACGTCGCGCATCCTTGATCTATGAG